GCTCCCCTCGCGCGGCGCGGAAGAAGGCCAACGGGGACGGCAGGAAGGAAGAGGAGGCTTCGAGATTTTTGCGGAACCCCCACGCCACCCCCCTCTCCACACCACCACCACCTTCTCCTCATAGCCTGCCTCCCGCGTAGGGTTTCCGCGCGCCACCGTCTCCACTCCAATCCCAGCACCACCCGTCCTACCGCCGGCCGCCGCATTTGGAGCTCTGCATCTGCCTGCAGCCCGATTCGCCAATCGCGACCCCTCGAGAAGCCTCGTCGTACTGGTTTGGGGATTTTGGTTTCCCTTTCCCACTGTTATTACTGTTGCTGGTTGTATCGGGGATCTGGGAGGAGTGTTTGTTTTGGTGCTAATTGATTTTGGCTATTTGGGCGTGATTATCCATGCTGAGTGGTGTTGGTGATGTCGGGTGATTAGATTTGGGGGTAGATTGGTAGAGGGGATTCGGATTAGTTTTTTTTTGTTAGGGCGCTTAGCTTCTCTGCTATTGGATTGGGATCCATGATCGAGACTGCTCCGTGAAGTTTTTGGTCCTAGGGATTGTGTTTTTTGATCGGCCCGGACCAGGAATAGAGGGTTCTCTTGAGGAGATCTAGGGCCGCGTGTTCTATCGTCCTCTGTAGATAAAATCAAAAAAAAAAGAGAGAAAAAAAGAGAGCGAGAGATAGAGGAGGTAGTAGAAGGGAGGTTGGAGGCTATGGCGCTGAATTGCTCGTCACGCTCGCTCCTGGTGACCGATGATTGTGCCAGCATGATGCTTGGTTGTGGGTGTCGGTCGGAGGAGGCCTCCCCTCTGTCATCCTGCGGGGTGAATTCGCTGTGGTGGGATGAGCTGGAGATGGAGCTGGAGCTGGAGGAGGAGGTGGAGGAGTCGGATCCTGTGGATCTCTTACCCGCGGACCCCTTCGGGATGAACCTGGAGACTACGTTCACAGCTGCGATTGCCAGTTGCATTGGGGACCTCGCAGTCATGTCTGGTGCTGGGCATTTTGGAAGCGGTGACGATGATGATTTCTATGCCGGCCTGAGTTATTACTTGAATCAGGCTTTTGTGCTCACTCCGGAGCCATGGAGTGGTGCCTATACCGGTGTTTTTGAGGATTCTTTTGTGTCTGGAGGCCTCTCAGGTGCTGGAGGCATGGAACAGTTGTCACGGTTGCCTCCTAGTGCATCCTGCTCAGAGCCTATTGGGGTCACAGAGGACCCATCTAGCTCTTGTGACACAGCCTTGCCATGCTGTGATATGGTTGATGTTGCTCCTGTCCAGGAGGGAAATGATGCACATGAAGCAATGGTGTTTGTTCTGAGCTATCTTGGCTTACGTGACATCCTCTCTGTTGAGATGGTGTGCAAGTCCCTGCGTTCAGCTGTCCGGAACGAACCCTTTTTATGGAAATGCATCCATATTGATTCACACTTGGGCAAGAAGGTGTCTGATGCTGATCTTCTGTGCCTGACACAGAAGTCCCCGGGTTCTGTGCAGTGCCTGAGTCTTATGGGCTGTCTAAGCATCACAGATCAGGGATTGAAAGCTGTTTTAGAGAGTAATCTACAATTAACAAAGGTTAGTATGGTGTGATCCATAGGAATCTGTTTTATTCATGATACATCTCCATAGGAATCTAGTTTTATCTTGTGATATTCTTGGCAATCCAATGTTATAACGTTATATTGCTATACCATCTTATATGATTGTTATTGTCTTGAAAAGATTCTACATTGTTGTTGAATTGCATCATGCTTCTGATAGCTCTAGATACATTTTCAGTACTTGCAGCTCTGAGCATCCAGCCAATGTTATTGGGTGCTAATATACGTTTGTGGAACAAGGCTGCTACCTTGGCTACCCTCTGTTTGGATCTATGAGATGAACTGGAAACTTAGATTTTACATATTTTTTCATTTAGCTAATTTCATTCATTTGTCTATATAATATTTGCCAGACCACAAACTCTAATGCAAACTAGTTAGATAGGACTACTTACTTGCACTTACCTTGATAATATTGCATGTTTTTACAGCAGAATTCAAAGAAGGGTTAGTTATTTTTCAATTAAAGCTTAGTATTTTTTTTCACATGAATTTTTATTTGCTTTACAGTGTTTCAGTTTTGTTGCATAGCAGTTGAACTGGTATGAAAAACTTGTGCTACCAGTTTTGGCAATCCACAATTCTCCATTTACTTAACTGCCTCTTGTCTCTTTATTTATTTTTTGATACAGTTGGGCATTTTTGGTGCTTTCCGGATTACTCATCAAGGTCTTATTGACAATCTGAGGTCATTTAATATGAAAGCAGATATTGGTATCAAGAGACTCAGAGTTACAAATCGTGTCACTGCATCAGAAGCGCAATATGAAGAGTTGTTGTCCTTGATGAAAATAGACAAGGAGCTGGCATTACACAAACAGGAGCCTCGGATCTTTCATGCTGATCGTCTTTTACCAGATCTTCATGGTGGATATGTTCCTGATTCTTTCGTACCAGATCTTCATGATGAATATGCTCTTGATATTGAGAAGTGCCCTCTTTGTCCGAACTACAAGCTTGTTTATGATTGCCCATCAAAGGAATGCAAGACCAGCGGACCTAGTACTTGCAGAGGGTGTGTTGTTTGCATCTCGAGATGTTTGCGATGTGGGAGATGTATAGACAGTGAGTTCCAAGAGACATTTCTTCTGGAGAACCTTTGTCGTGACTGTGTCAAGTATGAAGATTCACCCCCCACAGGAAAATAGATGTTCGATTCTGTTATATCCATCGGATGAACATAGCATTTCTTCTGTTGGTTGATGCTCCCATCCATCAGTCATCTTGACTGAGTATTTCTAAGAAGGAAAAGAAAAAAGAAAAAAGAGAAAGGTATACCAGTTTGCTATCGGTGTAGGTGCAGCAGCTGATATATTGTTTTTGCTTGCAAGAAAAAGAAAAAAAAAACAGTATAACCCAGAAAACCAGAGGATGAAGGTATGGTTTCCCTATCAAGGTGTGAACAGTGAATGGTGACAAGCTGACAATTGCGGTAGGTGATGTTATACTTATAGTAATATTCTTTTGGTCCTTGCAGAAATTTTGTACTAGCTCAGTTAATGCATGAAACTAGAATACTGCCCTCCAAATCGGGCCTCAGTTTTTTGCTGAGTCTTTGCTTGTACTGTTGTTTCAGGGATATTTCCTTTTGGAATAATGAAGTGCTCTGCTCAGTTGTGTTGAAGTACGACAGTATAGTTTTTTTCCAGCCGGTTGCTTGATGCTGCATGTTCCTGGAACATCAGAAGTAATTGATTTCATTGGCCCCAAAATAAAATCGGATGTATCTATCTGTCCAATGTTACCAATCTACCTGTGTGTGCTGCGTGCTGTTACTTGACAATTGACAAATGTAATAGTTACTGTCTGGGTTGTAGAAACTTTGTACCACCTAATTTATTAGAATAAATAAAGACAACATCTAACTTAGCTAGATTCTTTCACGCCTGCAGATGGTCAGGTGCCTGTTTTAGCCAGGTGCATTTCATTTTTTTTTTCTTTCTGGTGGCTATTATCAGTCATCCCGTTCTGGCAAGTCTGGGACATGTGTCCGTCTTTTTTGTGCTGGTGAGGGAAATAAATGGCCATCCTTTGCTAGTGCTGATGAAAGCTGAAACAAAGCATGCGAGAGGCTACGTTCCCTTTTATAGTTTTTTGCTAGTGCTGCCTCCCAGAACCAAGTGTCTGGTCCCGTTCTTCTGGACAGAAAAGACGCATGGTCGCTTAAACAACGCAATACCCGCAGGACATCTGGAATAGAATGGGTGCCTTTTTGGTCATGGATTGTGGATCAGCAGCTTGAGCACTGCTGTTCTAATTATAGACACACACCACAAATCTGCTGAACCAACAAACTTTCTGGACTGCTGGTCGTTCGTGACCACATGGCTTAAGATCCACAAAACTGACAGGAGGGCAGTGCTCCCTGCTGTTCTAATTATAGAACTGCAAACCTGCTGAACCAAACAGTGCTGGTCGCTCCCGACCACATGGCTCAACATCCACAATGACAGAACCGAGGGTAGCGGCATGCTGCGCTATAATCAGAAAGCCGCCTTACAAAGCGCATGGTTTACCGGCCTTGGCTTGGAGTTTTGAACAGGTCCGCCTCCTGCGTATTATGTTCTTGACCGGGGCACCAGGTTATGTTAGGCCCTGTCCTGCCAAGCCAGGTGCCGGCCACATGAGGCGTGGCTGATTTGCAGTCCTGCAGACAGGCTTGTCCCACAGGCAAGGCGAGACAAGGATTCCTGAGAGCTCGGAAGTCGGAAGCAACAGGCAGGTGGATGCCGTTTTGGACTTCCAGGACGGGGGAATGAGAATATCCGGGAAGCAGGCAATCGCTGTCTGATTCGGTCACTTCTCCTTGGCGTACAAGGGAAAGCAAAGGCCAACCCAAAAGCATTGCAATTTAGAATGGGCACAAGGCAGGAAATCCCTGGTGCCACGACACAGCTTGGTGTCCATATGCTAGAAGGAGAACCACAAATAATTAAATTTGGACTTGTATTTGGCCGATCCACCAAATCCATTCTCTGAGCTAACCTTCTAAGTTCTAATCTGAAACCTTTCCAGATTCCATAGTTTCAGCGAATGCAAATACATCAAATCTGATGAACGCGCAAAACGATCACAAGACATGTGAGTGGTCGTTGTCAAAAAAAGACGTGATTGGAAGAATATACTCTTTATTAAACATAATATCAAAATACATCAAATCTTGTGCTTGAAAAACAGCTATTCACGTGCCTGAACCTTGATTGCTTCTGCTGGGTTTCAACTCTAGCCTACCCAACTTCAACTCTAGCCTAACCAACTTGTTTGGGACTTGTTGTTGTTGTTGTTGTTGTTGTATTAAACATAATAACAAATAAAAAGAACAGGACGCTTGGAAGGTAACGAATTCATGAGTTAAATTAAAGAATAGTCATAATATAGTGTACAATCACCGGCAGAACTTCTCATTTGAAGAATTCTACATGGCCGCCAACATCAATACACAATAGCTTGGCCTCGGAGGCCAGCTTCCTGCTCCTATACAGCACCAGGTTCGTGAGCCGGTGCTTGGGCTGAGGCTCGAAGGATCTCGCCTCGTCTTCCTTCCCCAAGAGCGCCAGCTCCCGCGAGGGCATCACGTTGCCCCACCAGAAGTCGCGCAGCACCTCGTGGATGAGCTCCCAGTATGCGCGGTCCCGCGGCACCCGGAACAGGCTGCTCCCGTTGGGTGTCCAGCAGTAGAGTTCCACCCAGTCCCTGCCCATGATTTCCATCAGGCCCTGCACCTGTGGCATGTAGTAGTACGGCATGGCACGCCAAGGCAGAGCGAGCTCGGGCTTGCCCTTGTTGAACGGACACTTGACTTCCAGGATCCCGCCGTCCGGTTCGCACCCAAGGACTCCGTCAGGCGAAGCTCCGAGCCATCCGGAGTTGGCCTCGGTGTGCACCGCGAAGCCAAGGGTGCCCACCAGTCTTCCTGTGATGCTTGTGTACTGCTCTATGGCTACGCTTTCATGATGCGTCCCCCAGTCCATGGCAGACCTAGCAGTATCCGCCAGCTTGATCTCTGTTGCTCCAAAGACTTTCTCATTCCACAGCTCCGCTCTTCTGTTGCCAGCCCAGAAACCCAAAGCAGTACTAAAGGTGCTCGTGGTGAGCTTGTCCTTGCGAAGAGCAAACCATTCCTCTGAACGTTGGGCCACGTCAGAGGAGGTGAGCTGGGAGGACCCCGTGAGAGCTGAAGATGGTGATAGATTTAACAGAGATGACCGGCTATAGATCTGGAGCGATGAACTGGAGCAGCTACGAGGAATATAGCCTTCAAAGTTCCGTCTTGATAGCAAGAATGCAGACGGAGCTAAACGCATGCGAGAAGTTGAAGAAGAGGCCGCTGGAATTTGCAGGAATGTCCTAAACAAACGAGGAACTGCTCAATGGTTAGAAAGCTTGTCAATGATGTTGTGGTTTGGATAAGTATGACATATCTTAACAAAGTTGAGAAGTTAATCTTGGAGAGCATGTAGGAAGTACCCAACAAGAATGGCTAACCTCAGAATGTGCAATACATGACAATAGTATGCTTCATTTATATGAAGAACTTGCTTCACTTCTTGAATGAAGCAGGGGTAGAATATTGCAAGCAAGGGTTTATACCTTACCCAATTTCAGCAAGAAGACGTTGCTTGGGACAAGTAAATATTAGAGAGAGCTAGCTAAAGAGATCCCAGCCTCTCAAGCAATGATGTTCACTACAAAGAAGCAAACTCTAGCAAGTGAACAACGACACCTTGCAAACCTCTACAACCCCCCAACCAGCATGCAAATTGATACAATCTCCCAACAAGCATGTAAAACGCTATGATGTATATCATGTATTGATGCTCCAAACAGATAAGAACAATCAAAAACAAAGAAAACTACTTTTCCCGCCTCAAATTTTCTGTACGTGTACCTAAGCATTTTCCAAGTTCAAAGTGTGTTGCATTTATCAGGCAAGTCAGTCAAGTTTCACTTTGAGAGTTTGAGGTCAACCATCATATATGCTATTTTGTTCCATCTATTTTGATGCAACCCGGATGACAATGAAACCAAAAGTTGCCATAAATTTAATTCCCCACTCTCCTTAAATCAAAGGTTCATTGTTAATCCTATAAAGCTAAAACACATAACTGAATAAAGGCTAAGTGTCAATAAGTCCAATTCAAGGATTGATGGCAGGTACAGATTACCAAAACAGTAAGAACAGTTAGTTCCAGGGGGTTCAGGTTTAAGGGAACAAAGCAAGAGTGTCAACTGGCCAACAATAAAACATGACGAAATAGATGAGTTGAATTCATTTGGTGCACCTCTGAGCAAACAAACCTACATTACACGGAGGGCAAATTTCTGAACACCGAAATCTTATAATCCTATTCTCTCTTATTTCTCCCTGTCTCTTCGATTCTTACCATTTCAAACACACCAAATCTTTTTCAAAAGGAAAAGCTTTGACGTAAGTTTTATTTGAAAGAGAAACGAAAACATGTGCTGGCCCAGTTTTTTTTTTTTAAGAAAACAGATCACGAAAACCCAACATAGCGCCGCACAAACCCAAAAACATCGAGCAACCCAACTCAATCGGTAAGGAAGATTCAACACACTCTGGACTCCTGGGGTAGCCTGGTTAAGTAATAATTAGTAGCATTTCTTACTTTTTTAGTTGCGAGCTAGACTGAAGCTTGCTCCCATTCTTGAACACCCACTGTCTTTTTGTGCCACAAAAAGATACTACTGTCCTCAACTCCCAATATCTCACCTAACCTAAAGGGTCATTGAACAACACACGCAAACAATCCAATGATGCTTCCACTGGCCAAATACCAAATGATACTCCACTCCAGTGCACAAATGAGGCAGCTCCAAAGGTAAGTGCATGCAGCAAGCTTATCTGAAGAAGGGGGCAAACCATGAAAAGGATCCAATTTCAGTACCTGAAGCGGCGCCACAGGTGGGGGCAGCCGCAGACACGGCCGACCGCCGCGCGGGCCTCCAGGCGGCCGCGGCCACGGGCCGCGCGCGGAGTTCCGCAGCCAGGGTCGGCAGGCGCCGCTGCGGCACGTGATCGAACACATGGTGCGCATCTAGCAGCGTGGCGCTGGCGCTGCGGCGCGAGTAGCAGTGCGGAGGTGGTGTGTTCACGGCCGCTCTCATGCTGCGCGCCCCTTTTTCGAGAGCTTCACAAACACGCGACGGCGGTTTCGGCTTCGGCGCGGCGGCGAGCTCCTGATGCTAGCCGGCGGCGACGATTCAGTGGGACGGAGAAGCAGCACGGCCCGGTGTCTGCGTCCAGATATTTGGGTTTCGTTTCGTTCTCCCCCAGACCCCAGTCCCCCGCAAAAAGTCCCCTAATCCTTTCCCTGAAAGCCACGCAGGACCGTCCGATATAAATCCGACGGCTGGGGTGCTCCCAAAGCCCAAACGTACAGTGTACAATGTTCTTAACCTAACTAAATGCGCTTTCACAGTAATTTATCGGTACTTCTGGCAAGCGGCCGTGCTGGGCCGTGACGCCAGCCCACTCATCCCGCGACTGTTCTAAAGAAAACCCAACTCACCGTAGCGCCGCAGCATCGTTCGGCGACCGCGCTCACCACCGCGCCTCTCTGTCCATCACGCCTCCGCTCCGCCGGCCGACATCTCCGTCGTGCCCAAGCGCGACAGCCGGTCTTCACCCTCTCCATTGCACCTCCTACCCGTCACGGACTTCTCCAGTGCGTGGACTTGCCGCAACCTTGTCCACCAGGCCTGCTGTGGCATTTTCCACCGAAGCGACAAGGTCCACGCCACCGACTAGCTCTACACCGGTGAACTCCACGCGCCGACTACCCTTCGTTCGCAAGAAGCATGAAGATGTTGCGCTGAAGGAGCATGTTGCAAGCCTATATTTTAAGTGTTTCAGATATTTCATAGGTATAGTTGCAAAGTGTTTCATATGGATATTGCAAAAGTAGATCGAGATGTTGCATATATTGCAATGGTTATACACATATGTTTGTTTCAAGTGTTTCATCTGTCTTCCGACGTATGCTGCAAGTGTTGGATCTAGATGTTTCAAAAGTAGATTGGGTGTTGCATCTCTCTCCTCGTCTTCTGCTGCCTCCGCGGTGTCTCCTCCTCCTTCAGGCACCGGCTGGGCATCCGAACCAGAGGTGCGGACGGGCGCTGCCTCCTTCCCCTTCTCGATGCCGGTGACGTTCAGGGCGGCACAGGCTCGCGTGAGGCGTGCGAAACAGAATGCAAGCACAGGCGTCTAGAGTATCAAACTTTTTTTAAACCTAGAAAAATATATCAACAACAATACCAAACTAGTTTTGTTAAAATCTGTATGTCTTGATAGTATATTTTATTTGAACCTGGCAGATGTTAATGTATCATTCTAAAAACCTGATCAAAATTTGAAAAAAAAAAGTGATTAGAACAAAGCTAAAGTTAATCAATTTGGAACAGAGATAGTAGAGTATCTGCTTAAAGTCTGCCAGAACATGTTTTTTTCTTTGTAACTCCTCGGTATTGCTATTGCAGGATCAAACAGCATTTCATCGCTGGTCATTGCATACTGAATGGAACATGCATTTTTATTTCATATCGTAGTTGGGATATTCAGCAGAACATTATTACAACGCCGTGCGATATAGCGAAAATGGGCAATATATATGCGCAGCTTTATTGTAGGGCACTCATCCTAGATACACACAATTCCTATGAGGCCATGGAACCGGCCATTCTCTTCTATGCAAGGGTCGGTGGTACCCATACGTAACCGTGGGTCTGCACATATCCAACTCTCGCGCTCAGTTCGTCGGCTTCCTTAGGACCTCGGCTGCCAGGTTCATATGGGCGGGGCTTCAGCTTGCCGTCGTCAATGTCGTGCAGCAAAGGAGTGAAAATCTGCCAAGCAGCCTAAAAAAGTGAAAGGTGCAGCGTTAGAGGATAGAGCAAAACAGAAATGAAAGAGTTCTTGCAGATAAAGGATCCTCGTGTTAGCCAAACAGAAACAAAAGAGTTATTGCTGACGAAGGATCCAACAAGAGGGCACAAATATGCAGGGTGGCACAAACCTTTAGCTCATCTCTGCGAACGAAGTGCTGCTGGTCTCCTCTTATTCTGTAGAAACATGGATATGGATCAGTGCAGGTGCAGTAAAGAAAAGCAAAATTTTGCATAGAAGAAGCTTTGCAACGTTATCAGCACAAGACATGATATATACAGAGTTATCCACGATTTCAGGATGAGAGAATTTCTTTGTAATGAATGATATGTTAGAATGATGAAAAGGATGACACTTACGTATCCAAGATAAGGCGTTCATATGCCTCAGGAATTTTGACATTTTGGTACCGCATCCCATATGACAGATCAAGTTCACTTTGTTCAGTAGCCATTTCCAACCCAGGCTTCTTAACCTGCAGCAATTTAATTTTCAAAGATTAATATGAGATTCTGCTACACATTCAAATCCCATATCGACGTCCAGTTTCCAAAGAAATTTCACGACGTTTTACTGATGAAAACAAGAAAGTAAACCCTAGAGAAGTAGCAGGACTTACAGTTAGCTTCATGTACATGGCTTCTGATGGTTGGAGGCGTATAACAAACTCATTTCTCCCTTGCTTCTTACCTTCACCAGGTTATATTTATATTTATATTTAGTTCAATTACCAAGATCTCTAATTCTTACATAGACATAACAGAACAACATAATGAACCAATATAAAATATTCGTTGCAACAGGTCATCAATAAGAGAGGCATTCCATGAAGTTATAAGGTGAGGAAAATCGTCATCCTTAGTATTGTTTTGGTTTTCAATGAACAAAGAGTCTCATCCATCCACCCTACGGCTAACAATTGCATGCTGAACTTCAGTGAGAAACACATTTAGTCTAGTCCAGCTTGAGTTAATTTAACAATTTACTAATTTTACCAATATGGCAGCTAATGTAGACAAACTTCAGTGAGAAGTTAAACGGCAATGCACGTGCTCTGCACCATTGCATTTCATTCAATCTAAAGGGACCACTGTCATGGCTTTCCAGTATCAATGCATGGACCTGCCCAACCCCATTCTGCATTGTCAATGAACCTTTAGCCAATCCTTTGGTAGTTTCAGATCCCATGATAACTTATGAAAGAACATCTTGCTTTTGTACTGTCTGGTTCAATGTTCAAAAAGGCGCTAGGCGATGACCCATAGCCTAGAGCCTAGGTGGGCCTAAGCGAGCCTAGGCATTTTAAGGCGTTTTAATGTTTTAACTTTAATTAATACACATTCATATATTACCTTAGATTATCTTAAATAAAAGAAGAAATATGAGACATGTGGACCTAAAGTTGGAAGAAAGGCCCATCAAAAGAGCCCAGCCCATCTTATCCATACTCCTCCCAGCCCCTTCCATCCTTTTCTTATAAAAAAAGAAAGAAAAGAAAAAGGCCCTTCCATCCGCATGAACTAGCTTATCCTTATCCATCCGGGTCTCCTTCCAGCCGCACACACCCTCCGCAGCCGCAAACGCCCGACTCCGCCCTTCTCCGTCGCCGCCCGGCTCTGCTTCTTTCTCCACCGCGGCCAGCCTCCTCCCTTCCGCAGCACGTGCCCGCACGCGCCTGCCGCCGCCGCCCGCACGCGTCCGAAGCTCCTCCTCTGTCACCGGCGACCTCCGCCAGCCCCTCCTCCCCCACTGGCGCCGCCGACGAGCTGGCGCCGCCTAGGGGTCCGCCTACCCCCTAGGCCAGGCGGGACCCCCTCGCCTAGTGCCTAGTCGCGCCTAGGCGGACGCCTAATGTCGCCTTTTTGAACATTGGTCTGGTTATGTAAAGGCACTCCCCTCCTATACAGGTAAATCTATGCTAAGAGTAAACTACACCATTAATATTAACTTCTAGCACATACTTCTAAAAATGTCACCAGGAACATCCTTGAATTGCACCCGAACTTCTGCTTTCCTTGAGCTCAATGCTTTACCAGCTTTAAGAATGAAAGGAACACCTGCACGGCATGAATATTAGAGGGTTGATACAGAAAGTAAAGATATTATGGTTGAGAAAAGGCACGCTGAATGGAAAAAAAAAACACAGAGAGCAAGTATTTCAAGTATATCCATTTCAACTGTAATATGTACAGATACTGTCATGTGGAGGTAAGATATACCTTCCCATCTTTCATTGTGTACCCGAAGAACAACAGATGCAAAAGTTGGGGTATTTGAGTCATCTGGCACTGTAGGGTCATCCTTGTAGCCATCGTATTGCCCGAGGACTACCTCTTCAGGCTTAATAGGGTTCACAGATTGCAGAACCTGAGATTAAGACACGGAACTAGTTCCTCTGAGCACTAACCAAACAAAAAAAAACATAAGATGTGCACTCTGCCACATTTCAGAGAGCAAATAAAACCACAGCAAGAAAATTGGTGAAGTTGCAATATAAAGTAGTAACATCAATAGAGTAAAGAGAGTTGGACCTTGACTTTCTCATCTCTGATGTGCTCAGGCTTAAGGGAGACAGGCTTTTCCATCGCAACCAAACAGAAAACCTGCAGATTGTAAGAATTTATGACTAAGATTGTTAACACACAAAGGCATTCACTCACTACTACTCTTCAGGAAATTCTGTCATGGCTAGTTAATCCACAAGATTTAGCATGTATCCATAAATATAAATAGTGGGAAGAAGGTAGGGAAAAGATGCCTTTATTGTCCATAGTCACTAAAATACTAATAAACCTCTAAAACCTGGACTCGATTATGAAAATGATTGCAGAACACAGAATCATAGCATATGGAAATATATCTTATTTATATTTTACCTGCAGTAAATGATTCTGAATGATATCACGAATGATTCTGCAACAACAGGAGCAGAGTCAGATATTTATAGAGCAAAGGGAAAGAAAAAAAAAGAAGGTATAAAAAGAAACACAAAAATGTTTAATCAATGTGACAGAAATAGGCATAATCATTTGGTGCTGATTACCATCAACTCATCTGTTCAACCATTGCACGAGAGAGTGATATGATCTTTTTTTTTTGGCAATTCAGATCAAAAAATACAAAATACATCTATTCATTGTTAAGAACCAACCAGGAATTCAAGTATTTCTAAATTTATCATCAATACCATGCTTTATATATACATTACGCAGAAGATTTGTACTTTAGCTTGTAAGGGTATCATTTTAGACTAGAAAAATTTCATAAAAATGTTACTGAAATATGGTACACTAGTGCTTCTACTTTTGGGAGGAAAAGAAATGCTTGTACATACCCATATTGGTCGAAATATCCTCCACGCCCTTCAGTTCCAAAGTCCTCCCTGAATACAATCTGCAGTGTTTGAGTAATTAGCATGCCATGTCATTGATACTGTAATGCTTTCAGTTATCTTAGGTTCAGTTTGGCTCATTTCAAACTGTAGTAAATTGTTACAGTAGAATACAACAGCTCCCTACTATAATCACAAACGGATCAAGTCAAATAACTTATGAACAGAACTACAGAGTACCTTGAATGATAAAGGGACTGCAATTTATGTGCATGGAGCTTATACCAGCAAAATAAAGTTGCCAACTGCTAGCTACCGAATACAAAACATCTTACCTGTATATTATCAATATTGTCGCGGTTCCAAAGAGGCAAGAACAAGCGGTTGGCAAAACGAAGGACAAGCTGTAACGCGATATTGGTTAAAAAATAGTTAGACAAATATTTGTGAAATGTAAAGCAAGTTGAGAAAAAAGTTACATCCATTACCAAGTTTTGGACCAACTCTTTTCCCAGGTAATGGTCTATTCTGTATAGTTGGTGTTCTTCGAATAGCTCCCCAAGTTGGGCACTTAATTCTTCAGCGGAATCCAAGTCCTTTCCAAAGGGCTTCTCAACAATGACTCTGGTCCATCCAGGGTGAGAAGCTGCACGCACAAGCACAAGACTAATGTGAAGCCCAGACTTGACAGTACTAATGGTGCTCGAATTTTTAAATCTATAATTCTATATATATTAAAAAGATAACTGGTATTGGTTTATTTCCTCTCCCTTTGTGAAGAACTAACTATTAAAGAATATTTGATGAACAGCATGAATGTCCTTTGTACCAATCTTTTCCAAATCAGTTTCGTATTTTGAATGTAGTCAGAATGTAGGAACACAAGCTTAAAAATGAACATGCTCTTTCGTTACTACTGAACAAATGGAAGTATTGAATAACAATGTAAAAGTTTATTTCGCTTCAAGGAAAGCAAAGATAATAGAACCTTAATAAAACTTAAGCTTCTAAAACTTGAAGCTTCCACTAACTCCACCATACTTGTTTGTTCATACTAAGGATTTGCATTAGCTTATCAGAATAAAAAAAACTCAGCATAGGAAAGAAACTTTTACATGGATTCATGCAATATGTTCTGATCATTTTGCACACTGAAGGGTAGACAGATGGAGGCAATGCCAAATAAAAGAGCCTGCGATAGCTTCCTGATTTGTTTGACGCCTCATACTCTGATATTGCCTTGTTCAGTTTCTCAAATCCTTCTCCAGTGTCATAGGAACCACTGACATATTTTATCTGAGACACAAAATTACCATAATGATGTCTGTGCCCTAGAAAAAATTTATTGTAGTTTTAACAACTTACTAATTGCAAAAATCCTGAAAGATCTTCTGGGGCTCCTTTGAGATACCTGTATAAAAAGAACACCTATGGCTGAAAGGAGTAAAGATGCATGTCTTTTCAATTTCATGCAACTGCTGAATATCTAGGAATGTACAATACATTACAGATCAGCGTTAATTTTCATTCTGAGCCTACACGTTTCCAAATGTAGAAATATGAAAATATATAATTTCATGTCTTGTATGGACAGAAACGAAATCTTCGTGCAGTAAACAGAACTTCTGTGTTATGCGACTTAAGAACTAGCTCCATCCATCAGGAACATTACCCACGAATGCGTTCTCTCAACCCATCATCAGAAAGATTTGATCTAGCATAACCAAATATATGGACTTCACCAGATTGTATAAATCCCTGTAACAATGAATATTAACTTCAGTTAATACATCCACTGGCTTGATAATTATAGTGTATATCACAGAACCGCACAGATTTTAACAAATGGAACTGCACAGATGCTGCATGTCTGTAAAGAATAAATTTATATGTTTACGTATGGACTACAACACAACTAGTTATTGTGTAGAAGCTTGATCTGATGTTTGCCATCATTCCTTCAAATTGTCTTCTACACTTTCATATCATGTACAGGAGAAGTGTACATTTATGTGGGCTTATACTTGTGATCTGGTTACAATAAGAAAATTAGTCCAGATTACTTGCTCTGGAATGCTCAATTGAATGTGCATTACAGTTTAAGTTATACTCTACGTTGTAAAATTGTATAAGGAATAGTTAATACCTGATCAAAGAGGTGGTAGAGGGCTGGGAAAGTTTTCTTCTTAGCAAGGTCACCAGAAGCCCCAAGTACAACAATGGAGAGACAACCTTGCACTGAAGGAAGGTCTAGGTCTCTAGACAAAGAATTAAAGCTGTTTCGCCTTGATGATGGTGTTGATCCTCCTGACATGACAAATAGTACGAGCCTCTTCTACCTGCTACAATAATACACCTATCCAAGTGAGAAAGATACTAATGAACTTGCAGTGACCCAAATTTATCATAAACATGTTTGTGTTGTTTTCATGTCCAAGAACAGGCAGGCAAGCTAGCACAACACGTTAGTTAGTCTTGGTCCATGCAACACCATTTTTTATGCTAAAAAGAGCACAACATCTACTGCAACCTCAGAACTTGAGACCAAAACTGGACATGATCAGATCTAAGATCACACTCCTGTTCGCCCCCCTTTAAGTGAAGTAGTGAATTACATCTTATAGTGACTCGATGTGCCTCATGCTTTATAGGTAAGAGCATATCAAATATTGTATTCTTCCAAAGGAATCTGAGCTTATTGTATTCAGAGAAAAAGAATTTGAAATTTGGATCTCTCTACCTGCCGAGGACACCAAAAGCACCAGTATCTAAAGGTCAGCAGAGTAGTACCCGCTTAAACCCATTCAATTTAATTTTAACATCCGAGGAGTAGCACAAGTCCTCACTCGTGGCTAATTTTAGCAATAGAAACGAAAAGTAAAATACCCTCAACTTAATAAGCCAAAAACTTCGACCAATTCCCAATTCCTAGCAGCAAAAATGCAAAATGATTAAATGAACCTCCCTGCAAGTCAGCAACAACCAAAAGAAAAAAAAATCAGAAATGCTATACAACAGTTTTATCATAAAAAAAACACATGGATTTTAGTCCATCGGATTGTTGCCTCCGTTTGTCTGCATCGTCAGATCTGCGTCCGTATCACGCCTCGCCGTGCATGACGGCCCCGCTCGCGGCCGAAGCTCCCGCGGCGGCCGCCATGGTCGAGGGCGGAGGCGGTGCCTCGAGGCAGGCCGATACGCGCGCCCGTGGCCCAGCCGGTGACAGAGCAGACCGTGCAGTGGACCAGCGAGGAGGAGCCCGGCGCGGCGCGGCGGAGCTAGCAGCCATGGTCGGAGAGGTGCTGAGGAGGAGCCCGCAACCACGCCTAGCGCCTCCGGCGTCCGGCCTCCCGCCAGGCCGCCTCGGCCCTCCGGCAGTTCCGCGCGGCGGCGCCTCCCCGAGCTGGCGACCGAGGACCCCGACTCCCCGGCGGGCGGGCCACAGCCCGGATCGCATCGGGGTCAGCGGCGGCCGCATTGCCGGCGCCAGGAACCAACCTCTTTGTATTTTGTCATTTCATAAAAAAAAATTATTTTTTATAATATACATGATAGGTGGATTTACGATCTTATGATTGTTTTAAGTAGAAGAAAGTTAAAGGTAGAATAAAGATGCAGACGGTTGGATGTTAATCCTATCGTGTAAAAAAATACATGTATCGTATAAAACACAGTAGACAGACTCGGAAGAAAAAAATAGCCACTACGAAACAGCCGGAGGCGAGGAAACGATTCCAACGAGCAGAGAAAATTGCTAAAACCCCAAGCCGAAAACAAAGCAGCTCAAGGCTACCAGAATTCACTCCACCGAATAGGGGACAAAAAGATCTGCAACTTTGGCAGCACAAGATCCACGGCAAGCAGAGCCGCCGCCGCCGCCGCGGAGCCGTTAGCGATTGAGGAAAGAATCTAGAGCGCGGCTAGTGAAAACGCGAAGCGATCGCGACACCCAACACCCCTAATAAAGAAGCAAGTTTCCCGAGGAGAAGCTCGACCGTTAAACTCGACCGGTGCAAAGCTAGCCGCGACGACGACAGAACCGGACGGAGAAACCTCGGACTCGCCGAAGCAGGCGGCACCCCCTGCTGGGCGTGGGGGAAATAAAAAAGAGGTGCGGGATTGCGCTGCAAAGCAAAAGGAAGAGCGGAGCACTGACCAGTGGCGAGATTTCTGGAGGAGCGAGCGCCGGGCGCCGAGTGGGTGGGAGGGAGGTGCTCTGTCGCTGCTTCGGTTGGTCCCCCTCGGCTGCCGTCCTTTTTTATACCGCGGACGGCGGCGGCCTCCCCGCGCAGCCGCGCTGCCCGTCTGACGCTTGGGTTCGTTTCCTCTTTTACCTGCCCGCCACCTACCTACCTTTCCTGGCTCAGTGCCGGTTTACTTCTTAAAATTTTGTAATTTTTTTTAAGATTTTTCATCACATCAAATCTTTAACACATACATAAAGCATTAAATATAAATAAAAAATAAAACTAATTACACAGTTTAGACGAAATTCACGAGACGAATCTTTTAATCCTAATTAGACTATGATTAAACATTAATTATCAAATAACAACAAAAATGCTACCGTACTATTTTCAGCGACCGCCAGCCGGCGTGCTCTGTGCCACCAACCGCACCTCCATCCTCCTCCCACAATGAAAAGCTCCCTCTCTCTCGCACGGTCGCAATGGCACCGCATGTAAACACGAATGAAAGATTGTGTGGTAACTGGCAAATGGTAACAGTAGCGAAAGGTTAAATGGGGGTTAAGTTTCTTATGGTAACAGCGTGGTTAGTCTCTTTTCTCAGCATTGGTGCTCTTTTTCAATTTCTATGATACGATAGCAGTGGAGGTAGAACATAAAACGGGCAGTGCCGCCAGCTATCCCATAACTTCTAGCTGCCCTCTTTGATACCCCTCTGATTATTATAATCAGATTATATAATCAAATTTTGATCCAAACAGGACTGATGATATGATATAGATTATTAATAATCAAAACTCTTGATTACTATAATCCCATAATCTAGGAGAGACCAAGTTATAAAGGATTATGGGTGCTAAAGTCCACCTTGCCCCCATTTATTATCCAACTTGCCAAATTATAAAGGATAAAATAGGAACTTCACACTTTAACCAATCATAATCAATCACCATAATCCATAATACCCAAACACTCTGGTTATTATAATTTATAATTTAGATTATAATAATCTAATGTATAATCTAGATTATAATAATCGAGCTATAATCCAAATAGACCCTTAAGAGTAAGTATAATAAAGAGCTCTAGATGAGCTGTATGTTGAGGTGGAGCCATGGAGAAAAGAGAAGAGGAAAAAGAAGAGAAATGGTTCGACTTTTCACCAAACTAGTTAATCTAGACTTACTTCCTATCCTGCGGTATATAGTTAGAGGTTTAGGGCTATGTATGCTGAGGGGTAGATCACAACAATAGCTATTGGGGTCGATCTATAGAATATAGAGAAATCTATCTTATGTTTTAAAACATTTGTACTATGGCATTAAAAAACTCGACCCTAGAGTAAGATCTCTCCCGAGGTATTGATGGAAAGACTATGAATCCGGATCATTCAAGACGTGCTATTAGCGACGAGGACACGACCACATATTATGGTGCGGCCCTTAGTGCACCATGTATTTCATAAAATAGCATAAGTGGCAAGGTGAAAATAGGGAATCGAACTCCCGGTCTGTAGATTATATTTATGCATCACATTTTTGCATTTCTGCTACTGCACTACATGCACGTTCTCTTATACTATGTACATTAAGGATTTTATATAAAATTAGCAGCAAACCATTAGCATCATGGGGCACCAATAAATAGTATCTTTGAACTGACCTAATCTGACGATGTTTTTTAAAGGGGATATCTGCTTCCATTAGATAAGGATCTGACAATATTTCTGAATGAATATCATCTTACACTACGCAATATAATATGGCTATATCTTCAATTTCATACTTTATATATTTTACAGTTAACTGGTACAGCAAGACCATATATGAAACTATCAAATTCAAGTACCTCATAAGAATTACACACCTGGATATGCATAGTCATGGCTATATAATTCCTTTTAGCATGGAGAAATCCGTTAGAAAATTAAAAAAAAACAAATATCTAAATCTACAAATATTTTGGATATAAATCTTTTCAAGTAAAAAATTGTCAACTATATAGTTGTAGACCATGTTGACAACTAAAACTTTGGCATAAATCATGTCAATGTACGAAGTTGTTTCAAAATTCTAAATTTTGATTTTTTAAAAGAACAAAATAAATACCCAGTACACTAAAGACTTTAGATAAAAAATTAATCAACAATAAAGTTATAGATCAGATTTATAACTACGAACTTTGTATACCATGTCAATGTCCGAGGTCACATGAAAACTCTAAATTTTAATTTCAAATATGAGAACTTCAAATAAAATTTTAAGTCTCTAAATAAATTTAAATAAAACCTTGTGAAAGGCAAAATTGTTGATCTTTTGAGTTCTATAATTTTAGTATAAAGTTTGACCCGACTTCATAGGCAAATTTTATGATTTTTTTGGACACAACTAACTGCACTCTTAAAAGACATGCCTACAATAATAATCACTTTGGGAAGTAAACTTGGCTCGCCTTGTTTTTTAAACTGTTTATGTAAATGGACCGACTGTCTCTAAAATTAAATAGTTATTATCGATTGACATCAATTCACATATGTTGGGTGGATTTTTTTATCGGATTTGAGTGGAACTTAACTAAATTCCACCCCAACACATGTGAATTGAGGTGAATCCGACAACTTTCAAACAAGGCCTAAGTGAGCGCAAAATATCGATACAGACATGTGGTTTATACATTAGAAGAATACTGCAAGAATGTCAATTATTATTGTATCCTTGTTGTGTTCCTTCCGCCATAACTTGGCATTGATTTGGGCGACGGATAGGAGGCGAGAAATACTGAGACATGAATGGGCATTGTGATTTCCCAAGTATCGTGATCGAGCGGATGGACGGTCGTGGTTTAGACGTTGACGCTACTGTTTGCATGCACGTGACAGGACAAATTTAAACGGATAACTACCTCAGCACGCGGTGCAGCTGAGGCAGCAAACGTTCGTTTTTCTTGGCCCGGCCTTACAATTCCAGAATATCACTCGTGATTTTGTATCTCTGAGATGACCTAGTGCGTGCGTGCGTGCGTCATAGTATATTTCTAAAGGAAATATCAACTATTCAATCTCCCCGTCAAAAGAAAGTAAAACTATGCTGCGCGATATGACATGCCTATCTCTTCCATTTCAGACTCTATATATCCATTTTACGGTTGCAATCCGAATCAAACCACAAAAGTCATAGATAATAACAACAGAGTACCAAATTTCAGTACAGTGTAGAAGCATAAATTTCCAGTATCTTTATGCTCTGGTTCATTTTGGTGGTAGCACATGTTTAATTTACTTGTACCTCACGATTCACAAAGATCATAAAAAGGTTATTGTTTGCGATCGAAGTGCATATCGTCAATTTTTTTTGTTTGTTTCGCCATGGCCGCCCTCACTGATTTGAGGCGACGGGCGACGGGTAGGATAAATAAATATCTATACTGGGAAATGCATGGGCCGCGCGTGTGTTCTCTCCTGATTTTCCCAACGGATCTTCGTGATTCCGTGGTGGAGAGCGGACGGTCCATCGGTCGTGGCGGGGAGTCGGGGACGTCGACGCTATAGCTACTGTTTGCATGTGCAAGACAAAGGAATAACTATCCCTCAGCACGCGGTGCAGTATCCCCCGCCCCCGCCCCCCGGCCCCCCTCCCCACCCCCCCCAAGATTCCGTTTCGTATATACAAGTATGATGATTCGAAACACAGTGACATGGTTGAGTGTGTACAACCATATATGTAGGACAGTAGGGGTATATATATCTACTAAACCGTTGCAGGTTGCACGCATCTATCATCTTTTGTTTCATCAAAGTGATTCTGACCGGCCATTGGATCCTACGTACTACGTTATATTATATAGGGTTAAATCCAATTTACACCCTCCAACTTGCAGCAAAGTTCGGATTTCAACCTCGAACTTCAAAACCGGACAACTTTGGCCCTCCAACTCTCGAAAAAGTTCAACTTTCAACCTTCTGGGCGGTTTTGTGGGTAAACAGTAAATTTTGATATTTTAAGGGGGCCTTGAAAATTTTATATTATTTTTCGAGCATCTTTCTGTCCTCAAATGAAAAAACTCAAAACTACACAAGTTGTAGATCTCAATCATGAGTCTACAATTTACATATAAAATTATCTTCATCCGACATCGTCGATGAAGGTTTCTATTTTTTGAAATTTGAGTCATCACGCGTGAAACAATTTTGTCGTGATGAGTTTTGAGTTTTTTATTTGAAAATAAGATCGTAAGATGCGGATAAAAAAATAATATAAAATTTCAGCACCATATTTTATCGCGTGATGAGACT